GCAGGAGTTTTTTTTTCAGATTCTTCATGCTGAAAGTAACTTTGTAAAGTCTGTGCTAATTCTTCCAAAATTGAAATGTAACCAGACCTGTTACTTTTGTCTATCCCATGTGTTTATATGATTTTTCAACTGACTGAATTTAAGAGTTTGAGTTATAACAACCCGGGAATGCCTTACTTTAATTCCTGTTTGTACTCTATGATGTATATAGAAATTGTTCCTTGTAATTGCATTCGAGAATAGCAAATAGCAGATTTCACAGGCCTATTTTGATTTGATTTTATAAACAAGAATAGGGAGATATTGCTGACCGCTCTGCCTGATTTTGGAATTGTACCTCTGCCCCTAGGGGCTAAGGGCGAGAGACAACCTCTAGAATGCCGGCAGCAGGAGACTCCCTGGAGGCAGGCACTGCCTCGGGTTCCTCTCCCTGCCCCCAGAGCTTGGTCAGAAGTCGGCGGCGGGTGGGACCGCCCCCCCCCCAGCTTTGACAAAGCCCTGAGTCCCCGTGTATTCTGGGAGAAGCGCTTTCTGACTTCGATCACCTTAGGCCTGAATGCCTGCTGAAGAGAGGTGCAACTCCCGTGCCTTGCTAGAGTTAGGAAAAATCTGGCGTCACAAAGACTTGCTGATGAACCTGTGAAATCTGCTCTGCTAGGAGTGCTTTCATTGATATGATAAGGGTCCGAGGGGCTAAGGGTGTGTCTCCCAGGTTTTCTGCGACTCTCTTCCTGACAGACACTCCCACAGACCTCTTTGAAACGTTATCTACTGTTTAATCTTTGCTGCCCAGGAAGGATTAATTGGGTCTGCTGTGTGCTTCAGCCAGAGACAAAAGCAGCATACCTATGCAAGGCATCAGTGAACCCATTGGTGCAAGAAAGTGCTTCTACCTATGTGTTGTTTTGAAACTGTGTTTCATATTTTGCTCTATGTCTACTCTGAAAGGAAAAAAAAAAAGGAGCCCACTGGCAGGTGACAAAAGGCAGGGTTACAGGCGCCTACAGCCCTCAGCCTAGCTGGCTTGGACCCAGACCCGACTGCCACAGTGCTCCAGAGACTCTCCCACTCCCCTTGGGGGCATGGGTGGAGAGTAGCTTTGTGGTGCCTCTACACCCACAGGTAGAAGGGGACTTGGGGCTTCCGGGATTCCTTAAACCAGAGTCCTAAGACCTTTGCAGGCAGGCAGAACCAGAGTCAGGGTACTGCTATTTTAGGTAAAATAGATGAGCCATGTGAGTGAACCACCTGGAAGACAGAGCATGCATGGGCGTCACCATCTTAGAACTGGCTAAGGCTTGTTTTCCGATTATGAGCTGTATGCTGATAGTAGCGTGGAGTGGCTGCCTGGGCTTCCCTTGGGGGCATCTGGAATGGACCCTGGTGGTGCCTTCTCAGGCGGGCCGCCATTGGCGGCGAGTATGGTCGGGGCAGAGGCAGCACAGGGTAACGGACCGCCTCCTGCTATTGAGGCTGCTGTGGAGAGACTGATGGGTGGAGTCAGGGGCTCAGCTGGCGGTGCAGTCGGGGAAGCAAGTGATGCTCTGTAGGGGGATGGCTGGAGGACAGCTGGTTCATCCTCCTGGGAGGGGTCTTGGTGTATAGGAGGCCTGGATCGAGCCACTGGGATGGCGGATGAGCTGTCTCTAGATTGGGAGCCGCAAGTTTGAGACCTTGTTTGCCCCTTCTCTCTAGTACCCCTCAATCGTCCCTGCGCCCCTGCGGACTAGCTCAGCCACTGAGGCATGTCCTGTGCTAATTCCTGTCATCTATCTATGTAGGGGAGCTGATCTGGGTGTCCTGGCTCCCCATGACTTTGGCATGGACTGCCCTAATTGTAGATAAGTTCAAAGTTACCTCGGGGGGCCAGCCAACTCCGAAGGTTGGCCATTCTAAGGTACAAAACGTTTCTAGCTGCAGCAGTCAGGTTCTCTGTGTAACTGGTTCTGATAGGAATAGCTCTAGTTTTGAAAGTCATGAACTGAGGTCCAAGAGTGACCACCTGATTTATAGGGTATTTGCAAGGTCTAAGCTTCAGAAAGGTTAAAAAAAATGTGCCTACAAATCTAGGGACTTTTAGTAGAAGATGCCTATAGGAAATGCCTATAGTACTAGGGACTTTTGCTGCCAGATACTGAGTTTAAGTAGAGCCCTCCCCAGTGTAAGAAAAGAACAGAGATTAAAAGTAAATTATATAGATAAATAAAAAGGCTATAAAGGTTTGTGAATATTGCAGAAAGTCCGTGAAGAGTTATAAAAATAAAGAGATGTGAAAATTTTAGAAAGAAATTATATAGAGTTAGTAATAGAAGATATAAGGCATGGAGATGCAATCTTAATAGGTATCAGAAGGAAAAAGATTTTCCATCATGCTTTGTATTTTTCTCCTGACCCCTCCAGAATTTGGCATTGTCTGAAGGAATGATGACACTGTAAGGTTTCTTTGCATAAATCCAATAAGACCAGTCATTAATAGTAGTTTTGTTAACCAGGACTTTGACTGGAATGTCACGCCTGAAGGAGGCATATGGGTTCTGGTCATTACCAGAAAGCTCAGAGGAACTGGGATTGACCTGTGAAGCTAGTGAAAGCCCACAAGAAAAGCCTGGTACTTTGGTTGGTTGTGTGGTTCGTGCCAGTCTTTCCAGGGGAGGAATGAAGGTTGCTTTCCTGAAAGATGGCTGAAAAGAAACCTGTAAGCACAATGGACGCTCAAGGGTTTGAGTGAAACGACTGGTACAGGCGAGGCCAGATGTGTGGCGCTGCTATGCCCTGAGGGGCAGATTGAGAAGTCAATCTAAGAGTTCCCTGTGTGAGTGTGTGAGTTCCAGCAAAGCAGACTTAAGGATCACAAGTGATCCAGGCTGCTCTTGGTGTATTTATGCAAACAAACAGTCAAAAATCAAAAGCTGGACCCAAAGCAGTCTCTCTAATAACAGTGAGGGTAATCTTAAGGAGAAAATTGTAGTTCAAGGAAAATCACAGTGCTCAGTATTGGATATCAGAATGGTACAGCTAACTGTCTTAAAAATTTGCTCTCATTTGAAAGTTAAAACCAGGTTTGTGATGTCACCGAAGAGGTACAATTTACAGGTGCAAAGGACCTGTCAAATTGCCACTGTTAAGGACCTTGCAATGGAATGTCTTCCCAAAAGACAGTATCACAGGCACAGAGACTGGTTTGGGGATCGTTGTGTGAATTAACCTGTGTGTTCTTCTGTTTTCATAGGGCGTATGCCTATGACTTGCCTATGTCTATGAGAGATTGGTTGCAAGATAGGCCTCACTTAAGGAGCCCATCTTCGTCATTGCCCCACTGAGACTCAACGGTTTGGCTGAACTAAGTAGTTAGGTTGGTAAAAGACTGGGACAGTCTATAGGCTTCACTTCAGAACTGATTTTCCCTTTTCTGTCTTGATAGCTTGGACAGAAAGGGCTCAGAAACCTGAAAGGAGGGAAATCCTAATGTATTCCCCTCAGCCTTAGTGAAGTATAGTGGAGCATAAAAGTTTTTAGATAGGTGTAACATGCCTTGTACACCTTCCACCAGATAAGCCATTTATTACTGAAGTGCCTGCCATTATCAATTAATAGTTATGATTAAATTGTGCTTCCAATTTCTTGCCTAATCTGTCACCTCCAGAATATGACCTGACCAGAATGACAGCAGTCCAGTAATGCCAGTCTTTGGACACCAAGCCTGCGATGTCCGGGTGACAGCCAAACTGACCAGGACCCTGTGAGGTCTTTCCCCTTACAGGAAAGACTCCCTCCGTGCTGCCCCCCACCCCTTCAGGGCACCCCTAACCCAAGGGTAAATAAGACAGCGTCCATTTCCAGCTTGGAAGAAGTTAAAAGAAGATCAGACCTCCGTCCCTTTTCCTTTATATAATCATGAAGTGGGTGTAGATCCAAAAAGAAGAATATTGATACAGGGTGCATCCACGGGGAGCCCCAGAATAGATTTGGGATGAGATCCAAGGTTCGGGGTGTCCAAGAGATATTGAGATGTACTCACCACTCCCCAGGGGAAGGGGACGAATAGAGCAGGGCCATTGAGAGATGTTGTGCATAGCAACAAGTTTACAGCTGACCTCTAAAGTGATTATTTGACATATGGCTTTTGGCTAGTTTCATAGATATATTAAATAGTATAGCCAGGCTTAGAGCTAAGGAAATAAAGTCACTTACCCAGGATGTAACTAAGAGCAGAGCCCCTAAGGGAGGAGGCCTGTATAAGAGCTTAGAAAAGATCAACTCCAAGACATGAAAGTATTTAGGTTAAAAAAAAGAAAAAACTTGGTTTCTGACTGCTCTTTTGCAATAATAGAACTAGAATTATAAGTAATAGCAAGGGAAATACCTGGTCTTTACACCATCTGTATACTTTTCGCTCTGAATCTTTGTTTGCTTTGTTAGAACTATGTGAGTAGTTCTACAGAGAAGTATATAATAGTCCAAAAGGAAAAAGGGGGTCTTAGAATCTCTCCATGATAGTAGATCACAGGAGGAGAAAAATGATGAGGAAAGAAACCTCATTAATACTCTAAATCTAAGAAAAGGGGGGACTTGTTTATTTCTACAAAAATATATATATATTATGCTTAAACAAGCATCTACTGCTGTTTAGCATAAAAGGGGGGAATGATATGGGAAACTTTGAAAAACCTCTGTTTCACCTTTATTTGCCCAGACCCCAGGTGCCCTAGAGAGAATGATGGGGCCGTCTGGGAGGGCAGGTGGCCGGATAATGAGGACTGGAGATGAAGGGAGAGGTCCCAGGAGACCTTTGCTCATCCAAGACCCCAGGCGCCATAGGAGAACAATAAGGCCATCTAGGAAGAGCAGATAAAGCAGATAGCCAGATAGTCACTAGGACTAGGGCTAGCACCCCCGCAGATAGAAGCAATTTTCATATTTAGCCTTTGAACTCTGCTTCTGCCCCGAAGATAGAACTAATTACCACATTCTGCTTCTGTATCCTGCTTTGCCACTGTAATAGCCATTAGTAGTAGAAACATACAAACAGCCGTTAGGCATCTGCAGTTCCTGAGACTGGGTAATAAATAAATGTCAGGGAACGGCTGGGTTAAAATTCCTAGCCAAATAAGGTAACTGACCAAGGCCCGCCAGATAAGACCCCAGCTCCCAACCACCAATTAGAGACTTTCGCCGTTTTTTTAACTTAGCAACCTGGCTAATAGCTAACTGCCACATCTGCTTCTGTAACCCCGCATTCGCTTGCTCTGCCCTATAAGAACCCCGTAGTCTGTGAGCCAGGCGCGACTCTCATCTGCAGCCCTTTTTGGGCACCGTGTCTCTGGACACCCCGAGGGTTCGCCCCTGCGCAGGTAAAGCTTGGCCACCAAATTTATAATTAGACTATTATTTTGTAATCAATAAAATTAGAGATCTTTGAAACCTATCTTCATCTCCGAGAGCGTGCATTGACTCATCTGTTGCCTACAACATTTGGAGGCCCCAGCGAGATTCGCACGTGCCCTCGGAGAACCCATCTGTATGCCGGCCCGGTAAGTATCTGGTATCTGTGAGAGATCTCTATCTGGGAAGGTCGCGGCCATCGGAGCCCTGAGGCAGTAGGTGGGACGCTACCGGTATTCTGCCCAGGGGACCCCAAGAACGGGGGGACGCCCTCAGGGGGTCGGAGCTTTACGCTCCCGTCTGGTAGGGGAACTGCAGTCCCCGTCTGGTAGAGTTTTGTGCTCTATTCTGGTAATGGGGGGGAGAACTGGAGTGTCCCCCCCGTCTGTTTAGGTTACGGCAGGAGATCACTTACGATTTCCTCGCTCTAACCGAAAAGCGCCTGCGCAGCGCCTGCGCCCCCCCTGAATGAGTGAAAGAGCTGAAGTTGTGTGAGAACCGCGGTTCGCCTGTGTGAGAGGAGAAACAGTGTCTGTGAAGTCTTTGTTTGTTACGGATGTGTTTCAGTGTTTGTGTTTCTATGTCTAATTTGTGATTTTAAAACTATGACTGGTTTCTGAGCTTCCAAAGGTCTTACAGGCGGAGGGATTGTGCTGCAAGACGGCGGTGAGCCCTGCAACAAAATGGCGCCCTCCGCACCCCCACCCAATAGGCAAAAGTTTTACAGGCATCAAAGAGGGGCCCGGCCGACCAACCGACCAGCGCCGGCCGCGAGCGAGCCCGGCGCGATTGCCTCAGCTGCAGCGGGCCTCTCCACCACTGATGGCAGCATGCGAGGCCCAGGAGGGCGGGTTTCGGTCCCCACCTTGCTGCGCGCCAGCCCAAACGGCTCGGAGCGCTAGCGCGCAGCCGCCGTGCTCGCGCTGGGCGGACTACCAGCCCCCCCCCCCCACCCCGCTGCTGCGCCACTGACGCCCCCGCCCGGCCTGCGGGAGAGCCACCCTGTCCCGCGACCGGTGACCGACGGCCGGCGCCCGTGCGCGCGCGCCAGCTGGGTCCGCGGGCGCCGGTGCCGAGGAATCTGACTGTGATTGAAACAAAGCAGCACGGAGGCCCTGCTGGTATTGACGAGATGAGTATTTTGCCCCCAGAGTTCCCCAGTCGGCAATGCTAGGACCCTCGCTCGCTGATTGGAAAAGCGCGCACACTTCTCGCATCCTCGCACCCTCCCCTCTTCCCCTTATCGGCACCCCAGGTGGCGGGGCGGGGGCGGGAGGCTGTCTCCCCGGGACAGACAGGATTGCCAAGGTGCTGGGTCGCTCCTGCGAGCAATCGCTTCCCCTCCCCCGGAGGGGGGGCCCCTTGCAACGGGCTGTCGAACTGTCTGGCCTGGCGGGGTTGCTCACTGATTCCCCCCTCCCCGTGCTGACTTCAGTGGCTGGCCGCAGCCCTTCTCCCCCAGGCTACTGCGGTGGAGATTTGGAAGGCTGACTAGGGCGGCCCGCCCCGCTGGCTGTTTCCTAGCAACGGGTAGGGTTTCAGCCAGTGGGCGGGGCTGATGGCAGGCACTGAAGTGAGTTTTCTGCTGCCGCAGCTTGAGGCGTGAGGAATTTTAAGTTCTGAAATGTTTGCCAGTGAGGACCTTGTAATTCGACTGGTCTGGCAATTGTGAGACGAGCTCATCATACTTTAAAAGAGTCTTGAGCCTTTCCCCCCGAGAGTGATTTATTGGCCATTTTAACTCTTAGCTCGGAGAGGGGAGTGTGCTGTTTGCCTTTCTGAATGACCTTTAGCTCCAGATTTCTCCAAGCTGTGTGGAATTCCAACCAGCGCCCCTGGAGTGGTCACCTAAGAGAGACTTTTAAAGAGACTAAATTAATGCTGCAAACAAGCAAGAGTGTTTTCAGATTCTTCATGCTGAAAGTAACTTTGTAAAGTCTGTGCTAATTCTTCTAAAATTGAAATGTAACCAAACCTGTTACTTTTATGTATCCCATGTGTTTATATGATTTTTCAACTGACTAGATTTAAGAATTTGAGTTATAACAACCCAGAAATGCCTTAATTAATTCCTGTTTGTGCTCTATAATGTATATAGAAATTGTTCCTTGTAATTGCATTCGAGAATAGCAAATAGCAGATTTCACAGGCCTATTTTGATTTGATCTTATAAACAAAAATAGGGAGATATTGCTGACCGCTCTGCCTGATTTTGGGATCGTACCGCTGCCCTTAGGGTCTGGGGCGAGAGACGACCTCTGGAGTGCGAGACTCCCTGGTGGCAGGCACTGCCTTGGGTTTCTCTCCCTGCCCCCCCAGAGCTTGGTCGGAAGTCGGCAGTGGGTGGGACTCCCCCCCCCAGCTTTGACAAAGCCCTGAGTCCCCGTATATTCTGGGAGAAGCGCTTTCTGACTTTGATCTCCTTAGGCCTGAATGCCTACTGGGGAGAGGTGCAACTCCCGTGCCTTGCTAGAGTTAGGAAAAATTTGGCGTCACAAAGGCTTGCTAATGAACCTGTGAAGTCTGCTAGGAGTGCTTTCATTCATATGATAAGAGTCCGAGGGGTCCTAGTGTGTGGGAAGCTTAGATAGAGCCGCTGGGACGGCGGATGGGCTGCCTCTGGATTGGGAGCAGGCTTAGGACCTCGTTTGCCCCTTCCCTCTGGTGCCCCTCGGTTGTCCCTGCTCCCCTGCACACTGGCTCGGCCACTGGGGCATGCTCTGAGCTAATTCCTGTCATCTGTCTATGTAGGGGAGCTGACCTGGGTGTCCTGGCTCCCCATGACTTTGGCATGGACTGCCCTGGTTGTGGATAGGTTCGGGGTTCCCTCCGGGGGGGCCGGGCGGCTCCGAAGGTCAGCCATTCTGGGGTACAAAACGTTTCTAGCTGCAGCAGTCAGGTTCTCTGTGTAACTGGTTCTGATAGGAATAGCTCTAGTTTTAAAAAGTCATGGATTGAAGTCCAAGAGTGAGCACCTGATTTATAAAGTATTTGCAACGTCTAAGCTTCAGAAAAGTGAAAAATATCCCTGCAAATATAGAGACTTTTAGTAGAAGATACCTGAAGTACTAGAGATTTTAGCTGCCGCATACTGAGTTTAAGCAGTGAGTTTAACTACAGCCTTTCCCAGTGTGGGAAAGGAACCAAGATTAAAAGAAAATGATAGATCTAAATGAGCAGAAATATGTACAGAGGATATGAAAGTTTTAAACCTGGAGTAAAGGAAACCTCAACTACTTGTTTTCTAGTTTCATGGGGAAAAGCAAATTTCCCATGTGCAGTTCTGTTTCTGATTAGAAACCTGTATTGAAGACCTAGAGAAGGTCACTATAGCCAGTTAGAAAGAATGCCTTTGCCACCCGGGACCCAGGAAGGGTCATATAGGGCTGACGAGTGCTTCAGCCTGAGGCAAAGCAGCATGTCTCCGCCGAGAGACTGGCCTGAAGGAGCATGTCTCTGCGAGGCACTAGTGGAAGCATTAGTGCAAGAGAATGTCTCTACCTGTATTGTTTTGGAACTCTGTTTTGAATATTGCTCTGTATCTGCTCTGAAAAAGAAATTGAAGATTCCAAGAAAGGTTGAATCTTCATACTCTGTAAAAAAAAAAAGTGAACAAAAGAAAATGTAAGATATAGAAATGAAGAGGTGTATAAAAGATTGTAGAAGTTTTTTAATGTTGCTAAAAAGCTGTGAAAAGTTGTGAAGATAGAAGAGGGTGTGTAAAAGGTGGTAGAAGTTTGCAAAAGTTTTGGAAAGGAATTATGTAAAGTTAGTAATGGAAGATATAAAGCATAGAAATGCAATCTTAATAGGTATCAGAAGAAAAAAAGATTTTCCATCATACTTTGTATTTTTCTCCTGACCCCTCCGGAATTTGGCATTGTCTGAAGGAATAATGACACTATAAGGTTTCTTTGCATAAATTCAATAAGACCAGCCATTAATAGTAGTTTTGTTAACCAGGACTTTGACTGAAATGTCACGCCTGAAGGAGGAGGCATATAGGTTCTGGTCATTACCGGAAAGCTCAGAGGAACTAGGATTGACCTGTGAAGCTAGTGAAAGCCCACAAGAAAAGCCTGGTACTTTAGCTAGTTGTGTGGTTCGTGCCAGTCTTTCCAGGGGAGGAATGAAGGTTGCTTTCCTGAAAGATGGCTGAAAAAAGAACCTGTAAGCACAATGGACGCTCAAGGATTTGAGTGAAACAACTGGTACAGGCGAGGCCAGATGTGTGGCGCTGCTATGCCCTGAGAGGCAGATTGAGAAGTCAATCTAAGAGTTCCCTGGGTGAGTGTGTGAGTTCCAGCAAAGCAGACTTAAGGATCACAAATGATCCAGGCTGCTCTTGGTGTGTTTATGCAAACAAACAGTCAAAAATCAAAAGCGGGACCCAAAGTAGTCCCTATAAATAACAATGAAGGTGATCTTAAGGAGAAAAATTATAATTCAAGGAAAATCACAGTGCTCAATATTAGACATCAGAATAGTACAGCTAACTGTCTTGAAAATTTGCTCTCATTTGAAAGTTAAAACCAAGTTTGTAATGTTACCGAAGATGTACAATTTACCAGGTAGAAAGGATCTTGCAATAGAATGTCTTCCCAAAAGACAGTCTCAGAGGCACAGAGACTGGTTTAAAGAGTGTTGTGTTAATTAACCTGTATGTTCTTCTGTTTTCATAAGGCGAATGCCTACCACCTGCCTATGCCTATAAGTAATTAGTAGCAAATAAGCTATTCTTTACTGAAGTATCTGCCCTTGTCAATTAATTGTTATGATTTAATTGTGCTTCCAATTTCTTGCCTAATCTGTCACCTCCAGAATATGACCTGACCAGAATGACAGCGGTCCAGTAATGCCAGCCTTTGGACACCAAGCCTGCGATGTCCGGGTGACAGCCAACTGACCAGGACCCTGTGAGGTCTTTCCCCTTACAGGAAAGACTCCCTCCGTGCTGCTCCCCTTCAGGGTACCCCCCAACCCAAGGGTAAATAAGACAGCGTCCATTTCCAGCTTGGAAGAAGTTACAAGCAGATGAGACCTCCGTCCCTTTTCCTTTATATAATTATGAAGTAGGTATAAATCTAAAAAGAAGAATATTAATACAGAGTGCATCCACAGGGAGCCCCAGAAAAGATTTGAGATGAGATCCAAGGTTCAAGGTATCCAAGAGATATTAAGGTATACTTACCACTCCCCGGGAGACAGGGACGAATAGAGCGGGGCCAGTGAGAGATGTTGTACATAGCAACAGGTTTGCAGCTGACCTCTAAGGTAATTATTTGACATATAGCTTTTGGCTAGTTTCATAGATATATTGAATAGTATGGCCAGACTTAGAACTAAGGAAATAAAGTCGCTTACCCAGGATATGGCTAGGAGCAGAGCCCCTGAGGGGGGAGGCCTGTGTCAGAGCTTAGAAAAGATCAACTCCAGGCCATGAGGGGATAAACTACCCAGGTGAAAGAGGGCACCGCATAGTTTAAGGCAGAGTGCCAACCCCTGCAGCTTTGGTGAAAGAGGCCCATGTGGCTTTGGGGTTCCCCCTTTGGCTGTGTAGCCTAGAAGGCAAGAGAGACTTTGACTAGAACTTAGTACAAAAAAGGACCTCTTGCCAGTGGACTGTGAGGGAGTGCCACATAACTTTAGATTGGCTAAAGATCCTGCCTGATACAGCTGATGTGCCAGCAACCTGAAACACAGATGTGTATTCTTTCTTAATTTGCAGTACCCGGAGTTAGGACAGTATAAGTAAAGAGCAAAGACATAAAAGTATTTTAAGTTGAAAAAAACTTAGTTTCTGACTGCTCTTTTACAATAATAGCACTAGAATTATAGGTGATAACAAGGAGGATTATGTGCAGCCTTAGGGGAAGAGTGCTGTTTTTATGCCAACCATTCGGGGGTAATCAGAGAAAGCATAAAGATGCTAACCAAGAGACTAAAAGAAAGAGAACAAGAGGAACAGACCTCTTCATGGTATGCCTCTCTGTTTAAAGCTTCCCCTTGGCTGACCACGCTTATTTCCGCATTAGCTGGCCCTATACTTATCCTATTGCTTGCCCTGACTGCAGGACCCTGGATCTTGAATAAGATTTTTGCATTCATCAGGGACAGGATTGATGCCATCAAGCTTATGGTATTGTCCCAACCATATACTATCCTGCCTCAGGATGACCGGCAGTCAATGGTTTAACTGCTACCTAACCGGAGGGGGGAATGTAATAGCCATTAGTAGTAGAAACATACAAACAGCCGTTAGGCATCTGCAGTTCCTGAGACTGGGTAATAAATAAATGTCAGGGAACGGCTGGGTTAAAATTCCTAGCCAAATAAGGTAACTGACCAAGGCCCGCCAGATAAGACCCCAGCTCCCAACCACCAATTAGAGACTTTCGCCGTTTTTTTAACTTAGCAACCTGGCTAATAGCTAACTGCCACATCTGCTTCTGTAACCCCGCTTTCGCTTGCTCTGCCCTATAAGAACCCCGTAGTCTGTGAGCCAGGCGCGACTCTCATCTGCAGCCCTTTTTGGGCACCGTGTCTCTGGACACCCCGAGGGTTCGCCCCTGCGCAGGTAAAGCTTGGCCACCAAATTTATAATTAGACTATTATTTTGTAATCAATAAAATTAGAGATCTTTGAAACCTATCTTCATCTCCGAGAGCGTGCATTGACTCATCTGTTGCCTACAACACCACGTGGATAGGAAGACCCCTAATCTATATATTCCCCAAGAATCTTTTGTTCGGGGCTCAGAATTAGGAAATGACTCCTCTGGGCCCGTGCACGTTAAATAAATCTTGTACTCCCGAATCCCTCGGTGTCTGGTTGCTTCGTTTTCCTATAACATCCCAACTCTGGGTACCGTAAATCAGGAAAAGAGCACACGTCTGTGTTGCAGGCCGCTGGCACCGTCAGCTGTGTCACTGTGCAGGATCTCGAGTTAATCCAAAGTACTGTGGTACCCTCTCATGGTCCACTGGCAAGAGTTCTTTGTACCCAGTTCCAGTCAAAGTCTCTCCTGCTTTCCAGGCCCCGCGGCCAAAGGGGGCACCCCAAAGCCGCATGGGCCTCTTCTACCAAAGCTGCAGGGTTTCTCACTTTCACCTGGGCAGTTATCCCCTCATGTCCCGGAGCCGATCTTTTCCAAGCTCCCACACAGGCCTCTTCTCACTCAGGAGCTCAGCCCCTAGTTTCCTCCTGGTTCCCAGTCCACTCCCTTCTCCCTGGCTCAAAACTTGGCCACAGCTATTTAACATATCTATGAAACCAGTTAAAGGTTACAGATATGTTAAATAATCATTCCAGAGGTTAGCTGCAAAACTATTGCTATGCAAAACAGCTCTCAATGGCCCTGGTTCTATTTGTCTCTTCCCCCTGTGGGGGGGGGGTGAGGACATCTTATATGTCTCTCCAATATTCTTATACACTTTGAATTCTGGACACCATTCCAAATCTTTTTTTTTGGGTCCCCCCCCAGCTGCACCCTGTATCATTATGACATTATTGTTCATGTCATAATTATTAAAATTAGCAACTGTTTTGTTGCTTTTGCACCATCCTGTATGTCTTTTCCCATTTTTTCAGTTTTGATGTTTTTTCACCCCATGTTTTAGGTCATTCCTATTTTCTCTTAGTTTGTGTCTTGTCCTTTATTCTCTGAACTTTTTCAGAGTACTGTTGAATATTATAAAGTATACACTAGTAATGTAAATTTCTTCATTACATTGCACGTCCACAAATATACCTGAGTCCTGGCTGGTTTTGTTTAAATGGACCACTAAAAAAATCAAACTTACAGATGGGGGCGGGGTCTTAGGTCAGAGGCGCGAGTGGGCTGGAGGTGAGAGGTCGCCAGGCCGCAGATGTGGGTGGGGCTGGGCGGGAGGCAAATGTAGGCTGGCAGGAGTGAGGGGCGGCCAGTTTCGGTGGAGAGATGAACCAGTATGCGGGCTGGGGGTTAGGCGCCGCCGGCTCCTGGTCTCCGTGGTCACGAGGTGATGCTCACATCCTAACGTGATGCAAGCAATGCAGTCCAAGGACAGGAGGTGAGTTGCGTGGGGGCTATGAGGTGACGGGGCTGTGGGGGGCAGATACGGCCACCCTGTGGGAAGCATCAAAGGGGGGGCAGACTGTTTCTGGGGTACATGTCTCAGGTCCAGTTTAGCTGACTACTTCCTGTGAGAGCACTTTTCTTTATACATCTAGATGATATTTCAGTTATAGATAGCTTTGATAAATAGAGATATGAAGATAGCCATTTTTTAACTCCCAAATAAGATGAAATTTTTCATTTGTTAAAGTTTCTGTTATTGCATAGCAATTTTCAATTTTGTTCATGCACATCCTGTACATTGCTATGCTTATTCCCAAGTTTTTGCCCCCTGTTTTGCTGTCATTGATTCTTTAAAAAAATTATATATTTAACTGACCATTTCTACATATTTATTTCTGCATGTTATTTTTCTCATCACTGCACTAAATTTTACTTATGGTACTTTTACATTGATTCTCATGAGTTATGAAGGTAAACATGCTCTCATGCAATCGTGATCAATACATGGTCATAGCTGTAGGTGACCTAGAAACAGTTAAAGCTTGAAAGAAAACAAGAAGTGAGGTAATGTGAGGAGCTAGAAAAATTGTCTTTTTTAGTCATAAATACATTCATGAGTAAATAAAAGAGTAACATCCTTCTTAGTATTTTAAATGAGTTTAGGGCCTGGAAGCACGGTGTTCCAGAAATGAGAAGTAATTTGTGACAGGAAATGTGCCCCAGGTAGGTCATCTGAGGAACACAGAAGGTAGCAAATGTGCACATTTTCAAAGAAGAAAACTTCAGATGGTCAAATGTGGAATCTAACAGAGTAAGATTCTTTGGTTTTAAGTGATATCACGAATCAGTTATGAAAGTGATGTGTGAGCAATGAAAAGAAGCAGGATCCTCAGATGACTACTCTGGGTAGTCACAGTGTGATCTGGTCTCCCAAGTGGACAGATCTTCCTTTGCCTCCTGACCTACTGCCCAGGACACTTCTCCCCAATGTTGGCAAAATGGAAGGCATTTTTTGTTTTTTAAATTTTAGCCTTCATGCTTCTTGTTCCAAGAAAGGCAGCCTTTGAAATGGAGGATGCAAAGGGCTATGCTGTTTGTGTTTTAATGGAGTCTTCATGATACAGAGTAGGGGGTTTTATTCTCAGCACCGGGCCAGAGAATTCATTCTCCTGAGGGATTGTCCTCTGCATTGTAGGTGCCTGTTAGCATCCAATACCTCTGTTCACCCTCACTTCCTTTCCCCTCAGGACCATCTAAAATGGCTCAGTAAGTTGCCTGAAGTCCCCTTGGGGGCAAAAGTCACCTTTGGCTGAGAAACAGTTTGAAGCTTCTTTCATTTTTGAAATCAGAAGGATCTTGGTCTGGCATGCAGTATTTGTGTTATTTTTCTATGTAAATTAGTTTCCACTCTGACTGTGATTTATTTTGGAAAGGTATTTAGAAGTGTATTTTAAAACATGGAAATATTAAGGACTTTGTAGTTACCTTGTGATGGGTTTCCAGATTAATGGCAAAGAGAGCCACAAAAATAGTTTGTGAGACATTTGTTGAAACCTGCTTTATAGCTAAATGTAGTCCTTTAAAAAACAGTTTCAAGTGTGCCTGAAAAGTATTTTTATTGTACTTTGTTGCTGTTCACTTAAACAATGAGAAAACATTTATTCACAATTCGATGCTATGACTTAAAAAGAACTGCCATCATTTTATGTACATTCACTTGCAGATATGTCAATGTGCATGTTTCTGTCTACTTTCTCTGGATTTCATTTACTATTTTAGTTTCTAAGTACGGGCACAAAAGTTGCATATTATTGCAACTCCTGCGTCCCCTGCTGGGAACTGGTCTGCAATCCAGGCGTGTGCCCTGACTGGGAATTAAGACGCGATCCTTTGGTTCGCAGGCCCACACTCAATCCACTGAGCAACACAGCCAGGGCTCAGCTTTTATTTTTGATACTGTGCATTTAGGGGTGAAGATGTTTTTCATAGGTTTTGGCATGTAGTATCAGGCAGCTCTGCCTATGCTCACTCTTGTTGCTGTGATTTCACCCCTTCTCTCTGAATCCCTTTCTTTGTTTCATTGTCCTTACATGTAATGTACAGACTTGCAAAATGCCCCAGCTCAGTGTTGTGACATTTTTACTGCACTAAGTCAAGAATCTACCCGTATGAGACCTTGCCAGAGGAAAACTGTTTTGGGTCTGGTACCTTTTTGGTGACAGAAAAACTAAATTTTGTGTATTCATTTACCTGTGGGTACACATTTGAACACTTTCTAACTTTTGGTTGTTGTTAACAGTGCTGTTATGAGTAATCGTGTATGAGTTTGTTATAACATCTGTCTTCAACTTCTCAGGCATGTGTTTCTAAGTGGAGTTATTGAACACAGTAGGGTAATTTTTTTGAGGAAATGCCAAAGTATTTTATACAAGGTCTACAATATTTTACATTTAGATAAAAATGGTCAATCATTTTAATTTTTGTTTGTGATTACAAACATTTCTCAGTTTTGCTTTTTCAATTATAGCCTTTGTAGTGACTGGGAAGGGTATCGCGCCGTGATACAGGCATCGAACGTCTCCTCAGATTTTTTTTTACCATCCCTCGTATGTCTTCTCTCTACAAGGGACTGTTCAAGTTTTTCAAAAATAATAGATATTTCTCCATTGGTGAGTTATAAAGTTCTTTATTGTACTAACAAGAGTCTTATCTAAAGTATAATGTGCAGCTATTTTCTTCAATTCCATGGGTGGTTTTCTTACTGTGCAAGTAGCTTCTCCCGCTACCCAGAACTTTTTAATCAGGAGGACATTACATTTACTCATTTACTTTAATGGATTTTGCTTTGGAAGAATATGCCATGATAGGCCAGCAGCAGTCTCAGGCATGTCATGTCTAATGTGCATCATCATTGCATCATTTAATTTGCTTGATTTAATATAAGTTGTTTTTTTTACAAAAACCTGCTTTATACTTTTAGACATGAGATGTTTACATTTCAAGGGTTTACAGGTTTAAAGAGGAGGACACGCTGTTCTCTGTGCTATGATGTCCAGAGCCAGGCATCTGGAGTCAGGGACAGGCTTCGGGCACCAAGTCCGGTGTCTGGTGCGTGGCATGGTTTGGGGTTTGGATTAGGGTTGGAGTTGTGGTCTTTAACTCCATTTGAAACCTTTTTTTTGACTTTATTATGACAGCTGTCATCTCAGCATGCATTAAAAAATCTGACCAGAACTCCTGAATATTCGTGTGGCCATTTTCATATTGAAGATGGATGAACATAGCAACATTATTGGCACATTAGGCATTGTCATTTCAAGAAAGGTGAAAACACAACTGAAATTCAAAAAAAGGTTTGTGGTGTGTATGAGGAAGGTGCTGTGACTGACCGAATGTGTCAGAAGCGGATTGTGAAGTTTCATGCTGCCGACTTCTCCTGTGCAGTTGCCCCCTGGGTCCCATGGACCAGTTGCAGTGGAGAGCCATCCAGTCCAGACGTTAACTGAGGACAGACCACATCGTGGCAGGCGGGAGCAGGTGACATACTCAAAGTAATGTCATCAATAGCACTGAGAATCCTTTGCACTAGCAT